AAATGGCAAATAAAAATATTATATAAAAATATAATGAACATAATTAATCTGTAGGGAAATGCAAATAAAACCACAAAAAGAGAACCACATACCTGTTAAATAGCTAAACTTAAAAAGACTTGACTATGTCAAGTGTTGGCAAGAAAGTGGAACACATGGGTCATTCATGCACTGCTGGTGGGAGTTAAAATGGTACAACCTCTCTAAAAAACAGTTTGGCAGCTTCTTAAAAAATTAAACATACCCTACTATATGATCCAGCCATTTTACTCATTTTTTTTACCCAAGAGAGCAGAATGCATATGTTCTCACAAAAATATTTTCACACATGCTTATAGTGGCTTTATTTCAACAGCCAAAAAACTGAGAGCAACACAAATGTCTGTGAATAGGTGAATGGATAAACAAATTGTGGTATTTCCATACAACGGGATACAATTCAGAAACAAAGGAATGAACTATTGATATACACAACATGAATGAATACCAGTAGAATTATACTGATGTAAGTAGAGTGCATACATATATTATGCTAGAAAATGCAAAGTAACCGACAGTAATAGAAAGCAGATTAGTGATATCCTGGGCATGGGAGGCAAGGACATAGAGAGGGGCAGGAGGCAAGGATAAGGTGATGGAGAAAACTTTGGGGGGTAGTGGTTATATTCATTAATTTGATTGGGGGAGAATTTCATTAGTATATACAAATGTCAAAACTCATCAAGTTGTGCAATTTAAACACCCATAGGTTTTTGTTGATTATACTTCAGTAGAGATATATGAAGAAGAAAAAAAAATGAGTACCATTTAATGGTCATCTAATTTGCGAGAAAACATTACATAAGTAATTATTAATCTTCACTCTAGGTAGTTATTATTCATCCCATTGTACAGATCAGGTCATAAAGGCCAGGGAGTCTTGTAGCTATGGTCAAGCCAGCTCCAAACCAGGTCAAAGGTCTCCAATGCTGGGACACTTTTCTCTGTATTGTGATGCCTTCCCACAGTGGTGAATTCCCAGCGTGAAGCCATAGGTGACAGTCCCCTGGCCTAAGCAAGTTCTAGTCTAGGAAAGATCTGAAAGAAGGAGGGTGAAGGGCTGGCATCACTGAGAAGCCAAGGATCCCTGGCATTATTGAGAGGGCATCTTCTCCATACTGGGTTGCAATTGGCCACAAATTCCTCTAACAACCAAACCCAACCCATCACAGGGACTGGGCCAGACAAGCTGAAGCAGAAAGCAGGCTATAGCTGCTTCCTAGAACATTCCTCCCTATGCAGCCAGAGGATTTTGTGTGAAGGACCCTGACCGGGCATTCAGAAGAATAGACTCCAGTTTCACTTGTGTCATAGACAAGATCATTCCCCTTTCTGGGCCTCCATTTCCTCAAATGTAAGATGTGGAGGCCAACCAACAAGCTTTCCAAAGAACCCTTTCAACCCTAATTCACATTCTGAGTGCCCTACTGATTGGAGATTTTTCTCTGGAAGTTGATCAGGTGCCACTGATGGAAAGGATTCCTGATTGCCTACAAAACTGTACACTCAGCTCCCCCACCCACCCCAGCTCTGCTGGAAAAGAAACCTACCCGACTTATCAGTGCCTACCCATTCACTCCTTCAACCATGCCGCCTCCTCCCTTGGCCCTACCTCTCTGCAAGAGTCTTCCAAAGACGCTGACCCACCTTTGGCTGCTCTGTTCCCCAGTTAGCAGACTGAGCTATTTTCAGAAGTCTGGGAACCCTGGGACACACAAAGCAGTTTGAGACATAATTTCCCCCTTTAGAATTCTTACAAAAGATTGGAGCTGAGTAGTTACAGGATGGTATACGTCGTATAAAATCTTGATGTAGGGAGCTCCTCCCCTTGTCACACCTGTATACCAAAGGATGAGCCAGAATTTATTGCGCAAACAGGCTGGGATATTTGGATGGGCACACAGTACGCTTTCAGTAAATATCTATGAATTGAATTAAATCCCTCTTGCCAACAGAATAATCTCTTACCTAAATACAGAGGAAAACCAAACAGATCCACCTCAGTATGTTCCCTGGAGAGAGCACTGAGAGTCCAGAGGCTGAGAAAGCCCCTGCTTCTAACTGGCTGAGGGATGTGAGGCCACCAGCATGCCACCTCACTCCTGGGGCATCACAGGAATAAGGAAACTACTCTAAAAGCCTCTGGATGCTCCCAGCTCCGATGCTATCTTACTGTATGCGGAAGAGCCACTGAGACTGAAAGGAACAGTGTGGCCCTTTGTAAAGCTCTAAGCACTTTAAGCTGCAACTGTTCAGGTAGCTTCAAAGACAGAATGATGTTCCTCAAGGAAAGTGGCCCTGCCTGTTGAAACTTGGCCTGGGAACTCCAATCCATGTGGGCCAGTGCTTGCTGGGAAAAGTGCTCACTAACTTTGAGGAGGTGTGGAGGTCACAGACAGGCTTAGTTTACATCTCTGTTGCTTACCAGGTGTGGAATCTTGGGCAGGCTCTTCACCTCTGCAAGACTCAATGTAAACTTCTGCCGCATGGTGATAGAAATACCTACCTTGCTAGGTCATTGCAGAATTAAATGAGATCATGCAGGCAGAACACAAAGCACAGTGCCTGGAGCCATCATGAGCTCAAACACCCTTTCCTTCCCCATACACATACCCAAAGGTCCTCAGAATAAGATCTTCTCAGCTGATTTCATTGGCCTAGAAAACCAGGCCCCTGTTGAGGAAGGGGGCTTAATTTCTAGCACTCCAGAGGGACACCTCATGATGTGCATTGGGGCTGTGGAAGCAGGTGCAGGAGAGGGACTGAGAAGGATAGAGGCACCCAGAGACCATCCACCATTCCCCCTTACCAGTCCTATGCAAGGGCTCCGTGAGCAAGTGGCCTCCAGGGTGGTGTCCCATCCCATCCTCCCCGCCTGGTTCCCTGCCTCCCAGGAGCACAGACCTTCACCTCAGGCAGGAAAATCACCCGCTGTGGAGTCTGGCTTCTTAAAATGAGGGTGTAGGACCAGATAGCCTCTAAGGTCCTTTCCACCTTTAGCATTTTCTGAACTACAACTCTACAGAGTCAACTGATGCTTAACTGACGCCTTACCTTCTCTCATCCCCTCCTTCAGGACTGAGGAAAGAGGTGAGGAGAAGGAACCAAGAGGTTCAGAAAGTAGAGGGAGAGGGCAGAAGCTGGGGCTCCATTATGCTAATTTAATTAGCTCTAATCTGCTGACAGCAGGGCCTTGAAGAAAGAGGCTTTTGTTTAAATTTCACATTTGGCAGGAAGTGCCCCTTCTCCTCCTCCCTCCTCTAACCCCCACCTCTCCAACCCCCATTAGAGCTTATGAGTCAAAAGCTCTGATTTCAGTCCTGGCTCTCACAACTGGTAGCGCTGGGGCTTCCTGTTCACACTTCTCTGACCAACTTCTTGATTTTTCCAGCAAGGAAATTTGCCCCAGATGTTGATCAGTAAATGGAGAGTTTTCATCTGCCCTTATGAAAGGATGTCAGTAATTCACAGATTCCCCCAAGTAGCAAGAGCCAACGGGGGAAATGCCAGCGACTTCTCTCCATCAATAAACCAGCTATAGCTAGTTTGGCTCAGTAGATAGAGCATCCACCTGAGGATCAAGGCACATACCTTGGTTGCAGGCTCCTCTGCAACCCAGGCCCTGGTCGGGGCTCGTGCAGGAGGCAACCAATCAATGTGTTTCTCTCACATCGATGTTTCTCTCTGTCTTTCCCTCTCTCTTCCACTCTCCCTAAAAATCAATGGAAAAATATGCTCGGGTGAGGATTAACAAAAAAATTAAATAAAAATAAACCAAAGGTTTACCAATCAACTAAACCCTCTCTGTCCATAAGGAGGGAGCCTCACAGAATGCAATGCGTTTTATTTCCACTCTCTTATAGGACTCTCACAACTGTCTTATGGGATAACAACAGAAATCTCACTCTCATTCATTCATTTAACAAATGCTTATTGAGCACCTACTGTTCACAGGAGTGGAAGAGGAGGGAGGCACTGGTGAGGTGACTTGCCCATGCCACCCAGCCTGTTGGTGGTAGAGCAAGCTCTGGAACCAGAGATGTTCTGGTAACCTGAATCTCCAGAACAAAACAGCTCTGGTTTGCAGCACTGGCTCATGTCTGGTTTGCAGCACTGGCTCATGTCCGCGGTGTAAATTTTCCCACCAAGGCCAATTTCAAGCGGCCAACAATCTTTTAACAACCAGTTTGCCAAATTCCTGAATATTTAAAAATCTGCTCTCAAGAGCCTCCAGACTAGAAACAAGTTCTCCTGCTCCTGAGTGTTCTTTCTGACTCACCTCTCTACCTCCATGTGAAAGGCGTCAACATGCGAGGCTTAAAGAGTAACCTTAATAAAAAAACACCTGGAGGACTATTCACAGCAATAGGATTTCAGGCATGTTGTTTCCGCCACATCAGTAGTTTTCCAAATGTCCTATGAGTACATGTTATCTTTATAATCAGAACATATATAGGTAATTAAAGACATTTTTTAGTGAGCTTAGTGGAACGTTTTGCAATAACCTCACACACACAATTTCTGTTACTCTGTTTCCTTTCGATTGGGGAGAGAGAGAGAGAGAGAGAGAGAGAGAGAGAGAGAGAGAGAGAGAACGAGTTTCCTAGGAGCTCAACTTCCCTTGCAGAAGAGAACAGGTGCACCTAAGTTAAGCATTCACCTGAATTAGGTGCAGTTTTACCTAGAGAATAAATTTACTACCTTTGGAGTTCAAATTTCACCAGCAATTGGGTGGATTCAACTCCCTGTTAAGATTCCAAAAGATCTGCTCTGAAAAATCACAGCCTCTTTTGCCACCAAATGACCTTGCCTCCCAATGGGCTGGGGTGCAAGCAGATGGTTTGAACCAGGAACGACTACTCCTTCTTTCCTGAGCCTTCGAGGGGAAGGCTTTCACATACTCACCACCACCACCCCAACCAGAGGCATTTTGCCCCCTCTCCGTCCTCAAGGGGTCTTACCTCAGCGCTGGGACAGAGACGTGGCACCAGGGCTGGGTCAGGGTCAAGGAAGCCAGCTCACTTCAGCTGGGACCCATAGCTGCTTTCCTCTGGGCTGCTGGTTGCGGAGGTGGCACAGTGGGCTCTACCTTGCCTGCAGAGAAGAAACAAACAAAGCAAAGTTGCCTGGAGAGCACCAGAAGTGCATTATGCTAATACTTGCAGGAGGGCAAGCACCCTTGCCCCTCCCACTCCCAGCCCTGATCACTCCTCCCGGGGTCAGAGCCCCTTCCAGAACAGCCTCACCTGAAGGGGCCAATCTCCTTCCCAGGGTTCAAACCGGCCATCTATTCACCCAGACCTCCCGCTTCTGGAGCTGAGTAATTTCACAGTGAACTGAAGATTAAGCAAAGCAAACTACTCCAGTCACTGAATCCTGATGTTACTTACTCGCTATCATTGGTAAGAAAAATTAGAGTAAACCCCAAGTTTTGTGTTTAGATAAGGCTTGGTGGACAACTGATTTTAATCAACAAATACATTGAGGTTGCTCAAGTATATTGTTTATAATGTTACAAATGTAAATTCCATTTCTAATTTATTTTGGGAGAATTGTTTTTAAATATATTTTATTGATTTTTTACAGAGAGGAGAGGAGAGGGATAGAGAGTTAGAAACATCGATGAGAGAGAAACATCGATCAGCTGCCTCCAGCACACCCCCTTGAGGATGTGCTCGCAACCAAGGTACATGCCCTTGACCGGAATCGAACCTGGGACCCTTCAGTCTGCAGGCCGACGCTCTATCCACTGAGCCAAACCAGTTAGGGCTTGGGAGCATTTTTAACAGAACCTAAATTTTCAACCCATATATTATTATAGCTGTCTGGGTGGATAACATTTGTTTTTAAAGCCATTGTTCTTCTTAGTGCCAAAGAATTTTATGTTCATTCTAGAAATTTAAAAAAATATAATTTAGACAAGAGAAGAAAAGTTATCCATTCTTTCTCCACCCACCCAAGATAACTACAGATAACACACCCTTCCTGGTTTTATTTTATTATCCAGATTTTTTACAAAGATGCAATAAAACCAGACAATTTATGTGACTGTACCGTAAATTTACCCCACCCCCAAAGGCTGGACGTTTAAGTCATTTCCAACATTTTTTTTGGTAATTATAAATAGTGCTTTGTTAAACTTAGTCTCTGGAGGGAAGTCATGGTTATATCCATAAGACACAGTCTTAGAAGTCAAATTGCTGAATCAAAGAGTTTCCGAATTTCTCATGTGTAACATTTCTAGTGGAAATGAGTGTGGGCTTCAAGGAGTGTGGGTTTTTATATTTCCTGCTCACACTCAGTCCAGCCCAAGTCTAAGAAAAGATCCATGATGATAACATGAGCTCCCCCAATCAAGCTTGGGGAGGGGGTACATGAGTAAGAATTGGTAAGGAGGGGAAAAGTGAGAAATCCACTGAGGAACAGAGAAGGAATGTCAATACACAAGGGCGGTGTCCAGGAACAAGAGATCCTGAGACACAGAGAAACAAGCGTCATCCTGGTGCTAGTAGGAACTGGGCTGACGTAAGATAAAACAGAAGCTGAAGTGAGCCATTTAAGGGCGTGGAAATGTCAAGGTCTTACACAGATTCAGGGCAGATCAGAGCAAACTACAAAGGCATCAGGTGAGATGGAAAAATAAAGAGTCGCTTGCAGCATTTGAGCATTTTGCTTCTGTTTATAATTGATGCTAACAAAACACCAGGAGCCAGAGTCACTATGGGGAGAGTGAGCCAGGTCAGAAAGAGACCTCTACCTGCAAACACAGCTGAGCTGGTGGCCACCTGGGAGCCTGCCAGCAAAGAGCCTTCCCCGGGGAACAGGAGCAAGGTGCTCTTGGAGTGTGGGGACTACTAGCTGCTGACCCACCTGCCTCCTTAATAGGAAGGAGGCCCCCACTCTCCACCCCTCTCTAGCCAGCCTCTCACCTCCCTCCTTTTACTCCATCCAGGCCAAACTTTCAGTGAGAGATGGATGATTCACCAAGTAACCTGTCAAAACAGACTGAATGGATTTCTGTGGCCCTGTGATCCCGGCAAAGACCCTGAGGACAAGTCTCATGCTCCTTCCTAGCTGACCAGCCCCCTTACCACTCCACCCCATGTACCCAGCACTCCAGACTAATAAGGGAATGGGGGGTGGGGGGAAGGGGAGGTTTCCATTGATGCTTTTTAAATTCTTTGGAAGATGGCTTGCAGACTTCCAATGTTACTAAAATAGGCAAGTCATTTTACCTGTCCAACCTGCCACTACCCACCCACTTATTCTTTGGGCCTCTCCTGATGGTCAAAGGGTGGAATTTTCATTTAAAAGTAACTCACCCATAAAAAAGGGCGCTGGACCAATCAGAGACTTTGAAAACTGCAACTATGAAAAAAGACTACAGTGAGCTGGTGGCAGACCTAAAGCTTAAAGGAAAGGTAGTGAGGGCCCTAGAGAAGCGAACGCCATGCACGAGATCAAGCGATGAGGCTGTGGGGACCTGCAGAAGCAGAGGAAGTTGGCCTATGAAGAGAATAGGGCAGAGGCCTGGGGTGAAGCAGACAGGAAACCGTGCAGCCACAGAGAAACCAGATGCATGGTGACTTTCTAGTGGCTGCGAGGCTTATCTGTACTTCCTACTTTTTATTTGTGTAAGCATACCCTGAATCACTTCAATAAACGTCTGAAAAGCTTGGTTTAGACCAGCTCTGGGGGCCCAGCTAGCTCCGGCTCTCTGAAGGCTAACAGGGCTGTGCGTGAGAACAGGGCACTCGCCCATGAGCCACTGCTTGGTTTTGTGGTAGAGCTTTGCCCATCCATTGTATCTACTCAAAGCCTTTTTTCTTAACCTTCCTTCCAAAGGTTGTGCCTGGGCTTTGATAGATGAGGCGACTGGAAGGGATAGTCCAAGATTGCAGGTGTAACTTTGCAAAACCATGAGAAATAAACAATAACAGAGCTGTAGAGACTAGATTCTTCTATTATAAGATTTTTCTATTAAGTGGTTGATACTAACTCCTCCTGATTACAGGGTCCCCTTGCATCCCCTTTGCCCCTGAGCCACCCTGGGCGTCTTGGCAGTTTCAATAGTGTCTATTTCATGCAGGACCCCACTGTATCCTGTGTGTCTTCTGCTTCCTGACCTCCCCCCTGTTACACCAGGGTTACAGGCTTGACATCTAGATCTGGTTTCACTCCTATTTTCCCGAGGCCTAGCCAGCCAAGCTTTACTTTCCTCTTTTCTCATGTTCAGGGGCTGTCTTCTGCTTTATCCCTGCTGCCCTCACTCCTGCCGGCACTGTCGCCACACCTTCCGGCCCCTGACAGCTCCTCTGCTAATCTCCTTTCTCCTCCACCCTGTCAGACCCAGAAGCACCAGAAGATAATTCTAAGGAGGAAGAGAGCTGATAAGGGAGAGGCTGCCTTGGCCTCATTAACTCCCTAGAGCCTCCAGCAGGTGTTTCCTTCCAGGGTACAGAGTGTGAGGCACTGACCACAGACCAGAACTGGAATTTACTGAGACCTCCAAGAACCAAACAAGTTCATAAAATGAGCCAAGAACATACACCCCAATGATCTCACAGTCCAGCATCCCCTGATATAAGAATCCTACAAGCAGGCCATTACTAAAGTACTAGGTTTTGAGTCAGAGAATGGGTTAGCTTGTCACAGAAGCAGGGCTTTGGCCCCAAGTTCTTGGCTTAACTGAGTGATCACCACAAGGTACACAGGAACCTTGGAGTAAAAGATAACCTGTTAACACTAGGTTTATCATTCCACATTATCTGGGAGGTGGGCAGTTGTTCTGATTGTGTTAGAGATGGAAGCTAAATTAGCTTAGAGCTTTTTATTGATTCTTGTGCATGAAACATTCCAAGATCTGGGTCTCTGCAAATTTGCTGAGCTCTGCAGTGAGATCAGAAGACACTACACCCAAAGAACAGGCTGAACTTCTGCTAAAATCAGAAAACTTCCTAGATCATTTCTGCCCTCCCCTTCCTAAACTCTTGCCCCATGTGAATGGTTCATCTGTGGAGCCCAAACCCAATATCACAGGACACCTATCCTAGACCAAGGGTTAACCACAGTGTTCCTTTATGTTTTTAATTTTAAAATTGGGAGCAATCTATGTACTAAATTATTCACTTATTCCTCACACAATCTGAGGCAAAAAGAGTTCTCTATTTTCAGGTGAGGAAAGAGGGCTTAAGTAAGGAGTCCACACACAAAACTGGTAAGTGACTAAGCCAGAATCCCACACTAGCCTTCCTCCGAAAGGCCTTTCTTCCTGCCAGTGTTAGCAGCTAGGCCAACCTCTTTCAATAGAGCTGAAATTAAAGATGAGCTGAACACTGAATACACAGGTTCTGACAAAAAGAGAAATGATATAGGAATTTATTTTCCGAGAACCAGAAAAAGGAAGTGCTTCTGCCACGGCCTTACGCAAAATATCGGAGGGAACGTACTCCTGCTGTTTCTTTGTATTGTTACTATGTTTTCAGCCAACAATCAATCCATTTCTATTGTGCCTACTTGTGGTGCCCATCGGAATACATGAAGAGACACTAAGCCCCTTTTTCAGTCAAAGCAGTACACATACATGATTTCAGGCCCTGCCCCTCCCATTCATGCCCCTAATTTCTGTTGCCCAAATGCAATAACTGTCAACTCTTATCTATGTCTAGAGTTGCCTGAGTGTACCTAAATAGCATGCTTATATGGCTCTTTTTTTCAATGTTAAGTATTATTCATTAACTGCCTACACCAGAAAATGAGGATTTAGCTCTTTCACCTCCATTCCACATACCTCTTCTACTTGCCACATCTTTTAATATAGCTGTACTGTGGCTGATAGTAAGAAGCTAGGAAAATTCCTGGGTGAATGGAAAGGGGAAACTAAGATAAGAAAATTAAACAAGGCCAAACAGTTTGGGCAGCTTGCAGCCAGCTTGTGAATCGAAAGGCCTTATCTTCCCCAACCAAGGACACTTGAGAGCACATGGTTTATACCTCTCCTCCCTAACCAGAGAATACATCGCTTCAATCACCCTGGCCTGGGAAAATAGAGAACAAAGACCCAAGTAATGCCACTTGTGCCAGCTAAACCCAAG